TTGCTAACAGCGTAAAGCGAAAAACAGAACAAGGTATTAACTAAAAATAACGGATAAGTCACGTATTTGAGTCGAATTTTTGCTCTACATATTTCGAACCAATTCGTGGTCCTTAATCATGTGAATTGGTTTATCCGTTATTTTTAGTTAATATGTCTGAGACTCACGGTGGTTGCAATGGTTGCAACTAGGGTTGAAATTTTGTCTATTTTACTTTTATTTTATATTAATAAATAAATTAGTAAAAACCAACATTTATGCTAAGATTCTTAGAACAAACTTTGACATCGACAAATCAAAAATGGCGAGTAAAACGAGTTTTTCGTATCTACTAAACGAACTTTGCCTAATATAGAGTTTATTGAATATCGCTAGTTTACCACCATGATATTGAATTATTTTTGTGAAATTATTCCACTAGTTTGTTATAATGATTAATACAATCGAATACTAAGAAAAAGGCACGGTATGCTGAAGGCGCTGGCGAATCTAACCGGATCGAAGAAAATTCCTTGTCATATCGCCGCAATATAAACTGAGCGTTGGTTTACTTCAAAATTTCTTGTTAATACAAAAAACATGCTTGGCTCGCCATTTTTACTTAGTCAATTACAGAATTCGGCAACATGGCAACAATGTAAAAAGTTTTAACTTCTACAACCATTTCAGCCGCCAAACGTCTCACAAGCTCGAACTTTTTTACAATGAAACTGTTATTCTTTCAGAATGTGTTAGATGTTTATCGCAAAGACACGATTCGGTTAGGTCAGAGAACAAAAAGTAAAGAACGGGAGTCAGCGGGACCGCGCGGATGTGCGCTGGGAGAAGGGTCGTGGGGGGAGAGACGTTGCCGCTCGTCCTGTCCTCCGCGGCCGAACTTGGGCGGTTGGCCCGTGTGGTGGGCGCTCTAAGGGACTCTCTTCGGAGAGTTTCCGCGAATGCGCGATAGGTGTTGCGGCGGAGCCTGCCAAAAGATCCACCGTGGGGGCTGGGGGAGCAGCCACTGAACTTCACAGTTGAGTGGATGCTGTCCTGGCCCCCCATGCCCCCTGTGTAGCGGACTCGGGAGAGTTGGTTGCGCAGCATAGAGGGGCCCGGGAAGGCTAGTCTGGTGTTCGGCGAGCTTCACATTCAGAGTCGGGGAACCGACGTGTCTCCCTTGGGGCTGCGCAGGCCAGCCGCTGGTGGGGGCGCGGACGAGTGCAATAGCGTACCCGTACCCCCACCTACAGCGGAGAGGAGTAATACTCTGGGGGTTTAGTGCGGTCGGGCTGCTCCCCTTCAGGGTTCAGTCCAAACCCCCCGATAAGAAAAAGACAAAAAATACATTTTCCTCTCAAAATCACTTTCGAGGTTATGAAAATTCGACCTAACATTATTTCTGGAAAATGTAATTTCGGACTATTGATAGGTCTACAAGATCTAGGCCTTCCCTAAAGAGCGCCACAACGGCTCCAATTTTCACTAGGTCGTCGGTCCACCCTGTGACTTGTCTAACCACGCTGTGGCTTCCACTACGCGGTCGCCATTCCAGATTTCTTCGAATTCCATCAACCATTTGTTCTACAAGTAATGAGCCCCGCGTACTACCACGTAATACTCTTTTGCGGAGCTCCTCATTTCTGGTTCGATCTCGGAGATAACTACGAGCTATCTATCTCTATTGCTCTTTAGGTGACCTTGAGCCTTCTCATGCGGCTTTGTCTTTTGCCTTACGCGATTGGCCGGCTGGTATGGAATACAACTTGCCTCACATAATTTTTTTTTGTATTGAACTCTATGGATTGAATAAGGTTTGCGAAGTTTTCAAAGTGGCGGGTGCTGGTTTGATAAAGCCACCATACACCGTTGAATTCAATTTAATAAAACGAGCAACAGAATTAATTTTCTTTTTATGATGATTTTTTTTTAGTCTATATGGATATTTAATTTCAATTGAAGTCGAAATGTTTACTTTTTGCCTTTCCAACTGAAAGTGAGATACAAAACAGATATCAAATCTATTTTGCATCTTTTAAACGCATATATATTGTAATATTAACATTTAAATTAAAGAGTACATATAGTAATTAGTTTACGCTATTTCAAATCACAAAATGATAAATATTTTTTTGGTTTCAAAATAATTTTACCAAAAAATGTCGTAGTCCAACCCAACCCAATCTTTTAAAAACGATTATAGATTGATTTAAAATTTTAAAGGTACCTAATATTTATTTTCTGACATAATTTCGTCTCAAACGTTACGAGATATAAAAGAAAATTTTATCAAATGATAGACGAGTAAACATTCAAAAACTTTAGCACATAAGCACAGTCAATCGTTTGTCAGTCTAGCTCTAAAGCATAAAGAAATGCAATGTTTTCCTGTCCACCTCAATAAATAAAACGTTGTTAGAGTAATTCCTCTATATTCTAAATAGGCTATAATACTGCAATGTTTTTTTTTACTAAAGACGCCACTAGTAATAGGTACAATTTGTTTAGAACGCCTTCGAATTAGAAATTGTAGACAAGTACACTACTAACTTCATACAATATCATCGGTGTTTTGTATTACGCGCGCCATTTCTCAGGGGAGCATGTTTTACGTTTTAAAGACAGTTTTAAATTATTTACGTCGTGTTTTAAAATTCAATTCTGGTTTTAATTATTTTGTTTCAAAATTGAATTTAAAAAAGGATGTAAATGTTTTAAAACATTCGTGGAAAACCAAAAACCACTTTTTAAAATGGCGCTTTCGCCCGTTCTACAAAACATCGACGATATTTAGTTGCGCAGTTGCAGCGCGAATATCGTGACACGCAAGCGCCATTTTTGCAGTCACAATAAGTGAACAAAAAATTACTGAAGCTCATCAGTGTCTAATGTGAAGGTGTTAGGAATGTGCTATCATTAAAAACACTTTCCACAGGTAAAATTATGTAATTATTTTTATACATTTTTCGGTTTACTGCAAAAACAAATCGATTTAAGTTATGGCGTTTCTATCACAAAAAACATTGCACTAAATAGCCCATATAAACATTCGTCAAGGCGAACATTAATAAAAACATAAAACCATAACATTCACACTTAAGAAGCAAACTAATCTATTTCAAATAACGATACCCGTTGAAATAAATGAGCAGTAGCAACAACACCACCACCTTTCCTTCTTTCCCTGTAAAACCCTTTCTTTAAAACTAATTGGGAATTCTTAGATTGACATTGCAGCCATTTTTGAGTAGGCAAACAGACGTAATATTTTTTTCAAATTTACAAGTTATCTGGCAATAAACTAATGGGCTGTTATTGCCACATCTGAATAGGTAAAGCATACTTTAAAGAAGTATTACATATAGAGTCAAAATTTCGGAAGTTTTCCGTTGCCGACAACTTTTGTCTTCGTATTCATACCTGCAGATTTTCTAATAATCTCAGGCATCCAATATTCTGAACTTCAAAAGAGACTACAAAGTCAATCTACACAAGTACAAACTTAAAAATGTCGCTGATTTAGCACTATGTTAGAGAAGACTTATGTACCGTCGGTGCCCTCATTTAGGTATTTATGTAGCACTTAGTACAATTAGTGGATACCTAAGTGAGAACACCGATCCTACTAGACCTCCATCGTCGAGTCCATTTATATCACCTTTATTGTTATTGTACTGTCAAGTCAATACTTCGGGGAAGAATAGGCGTAAAAGGCATTTCCAAATAAAAAATGCTGTTATTTTGTATGTAGTTTTGTAAAATTGTCAAGCCCTTTCGATATCTAAATCTAGCTACTTTACGTATATATTGATAACAGTAAATAAATTCCTACAAGATACGTACAGTACAGCTCTAAGCATGGGTCTCTACTATGCCAAAGACCGCCACAGATGGCGCAGCGTCATCGTGCAGAAAATGTCTGCGGGGGAGTCTCGACCCTCAGTAATGAGTACGACGCGAGAAGTTATAAAAAAAATATAAATGAAAACATTTCTCAATTTTCACCACGCGCTCGTTATGAGGTATCTTTTACTTTATATGCCCTTTCTTCCCCAACGTATCGAAGTGAAGTAATTATCAATTTTGCACTTTCTTGCTATCGTAATTATAAGGATGTCAAACAAAATTAGTAATTAGAAATACTTGCAAAATAAATCTATTAATTCGTTTTTATTTAACGTCGTATCAGTTTTATTACTATTGTAATGTAATTGTCTTGATTTGATCGGCGAATTTTTAAGTTTACTGCAGGTAAAGAATAGGAACTAAAACAGCAAAGTAATTGCAAATTTATGCAGATATTCAGGAATCAGTTTTAAACGTAGATATTATCTAAGAGTAACATTACATATCGCACACGAAACCAATACTGTCGTAACTCAAAATTGTGGAATTGAATAAACATGATTTGAAAATTATAAAAAAAAAACTGAATGACACCAACAAAATACTTCTCGTTTATAAATGGATAATTAAGTATTATGTATAATTAAAAATAATCACATTATTCGCAATACGATCGATTCAGTTTTTTTTATTTAATTTTAAAATCCACAATTTAGAGTTACGGCAGTTGCCATTGTTTATAATTTTCTTTTTTATTACGATCAATATATTTTTTCATCAAAATTTGATACTTTAATAAAAGGGAATACTGAAAATTCTATGTTAACTTGACTGAGTTTTACTCAACAGTATTTTGAGACATACCGTTTGCAGAATATGCAATAGTATGTCTTGAGCAGAAAGTCTACTTTTGTATACACGGTGACGTAAAAAGACATCTATGTTTAATGATTATGTATACACAATAAGAGATATGAAGTAACACAAAACAGTTCAAATTAAATATTAAGCCTAAAAATGGAACTTTATCACTAACAATAAAATTTTACTAAGTAATCTACAATTAATAACTAGATATATACTTTATCTTTTGTGTATTAGCAATACCAGTTGATACTGTAATTCCATGTATTAGATTTTAATACATATCTACTTTTATTGTTTAATTTGTTTGCTTTGAATCTTTGGTACTATTAAACATCTTAAAGATTGACAAGTTACAAATGAACCCTACTATGAACAGTTGACATCAAAGGTAAAATTACGATGTAATTTTTTTTTAATATTCTGCAACATGACGGCGAAGTGCAAATTGTCATCTTTACAAATATTTTTTAACAAACTAAAATATGAATTAAATTTCAATACAGACTCTTTCAAGGGTCAATAAGATGTATTATAAAGATGGAACATATTTATTCCAAAGCAAATAAATGTACAATATTTGGACTAGAACAAAATGTTTACTTTTCAAGGTACAACACTGGATATGTTCGAACCTTAGAATACTTTTATATTGTCCTAAAATAAGTACGTGTATTACTATTGCAAAGCAACACTTGCTGCATTGGTTATTCCGGATCAAAAGATCAGGAGATCCAGAAATCCGATTACCGCATTTTAAAAGGTTTCCGTACGTTATGATATTATCATACCTCACTTCTCCTTAAGTGGACTGTCATGCCCGAAGGCCGGTCCTAATACCAAAAAACGGTACATTGGTGGGATTAGTAGTATATAGAATGTATATTCGATTTCGAAATTTAAATTTTCAGTTCCAACACGAACCTGTAGTCTAAAATTAAAATATTTACGTACAACACTAGTCAATTTTTTTTTCATTGTCAATTTATTTTTGTTCATGAGGCAGGATTTAACTTTAGACCCAGCTTTCAGGATTATTAGGATTTCTAAAAATGATTTTGAGTCGTTAGTACAATATAAAAGTGTTCTGTCATCATACAATACAATAAATTGTTTACCCACACCGTTTAGGGTATCATGTTCAAGATGTTCCTGTTCTCGAGAGACTCCTTCAGCGCGTAGAAGAGTTGCAGCTGTTGCTCCGGCTTTAAGTTGTAAACCTTTGGGGAATAAAGAAATTCAATTAAATTATAAAATAACGATAAAGTTTTTTTTAATGAAAAATAGATGCACGCTTTGCCACAATCTTAGCCGATATTAAGATACGAAGTGGCCGATAATGGGAAGCATACTCCAGAAAGACAGTTGCCGTTATCTATTATCCTATTCTATTACCGTACCGCCTTCGTAATAGAAGTTCTATTCGGATGTATAATATTGGTAAAGGCTTCTAATATCGCATTCTCTCGACATTCTATATTTCTCTGTAACTTTGTCGCGAATTTTCAGAATATCTCATAAGAATGCTTGCTTGATAACACACTCAGCTAAAGTTGGATACCTCTGTGCTAAGTACTATACGAGACATTATTATATTACTTAAAATTGTAATATTGGCCAGTCTCATATGGTAGCACACTTTTAGAATTTTTCAATATTATATTCGACAACATCACTTACATTGCTCCGATCCCAAAGTAAGTAAAGAACTTGTGTTATGGAAATCGGAAACAATGACGATATCACAAACACCCAGTCCAGATACAACAAAGCAAATTTAGTTTCTACACTCGCGAGCAACCAAACCGACTCAATGTCTAAGCGCGCATTCAGAGTAGGTTTTATCAAAAAGTTTACAACCGAATTATAAAAACGTTATATGTTTAAAATGCTTGAAACTTCAGCTTTAAAAATGTACCATTAGCATCAATATCGATTCAGTAGTTTAAAAAAAATAAAATAAAATAGGCAGTACAGGGAAATTTACTCGCGGTACCCAGTACGAGTTGGGCGACCAACTAACACTATAAAACCTCCCGCACGCGGCTTATGCCTACAGCCGCTTTCCAGAAGTTGACCTGAACGCATCTCCGTGAATCGCCATCACTATTTTGACAAAACCATGGATACAACACCGGAAGAAGCCGTTCAAGTTGTTGCTCTTTTGCAACAGGGACTTAGTCAGCGATCTGTCGCTGCTCCACTGCACCTAAGCCAATCTGCTGTATCAAGGGTATACAGAAGATTTCTAGAGACTGGTGTATTCGACCGGAGGCCGAGAACCAGCCGTCACAGGTGCACAACTCAAATCGACGATCGGTTCATAGTCTCTACATCTCAACGAAATCGCCACCTGACTGGTGTCGACGTACAGCAAGAGCTAAGACGTGTTCGAGGAGTGGCTGTAAGCGAGTGGACAGTTCGAAGACGCCTGAGGGAAGGGAACTTTACACCAAAACGTCCTGCAACTGGTCCGAAATTGACGACAAGCCATCGACAAGCGCGCCTGCAATTTGCTAGAGAGCACCTCAATTGGAACCACGAGCAATGGCGGGCTGTCTTGTTTACTGACGAGTGCAGAATGTGTCTGCATGGCAGTGATAGAAGAGGTCGGGTGTATAGGCGCCCAGGTGAACGATTTTCGCAGTGCTGTTTCGCTGAAACTGTTGCATATGGCGGCGGCTCTTGTATGATGTGGGCTGGAATTTCTTTAGACGAGAAAACCGAACTCATTTTCGTGCCTGGGGGAACCGAGAAGGAGGATTGACAGCCGATCGTTATATTACCGATATACTCCTAGAACATGTTGTTCCGTACACGGGGTTTGTCGGCGATAACTTCTTATTGATGCACGATAATGCCCGGTGTCACACTTCGCGTATAACTAAACGGTTTCTGGAAGAAGTCCGTATACAGACCATGGACTGGCCAGCGCTTAGTCCAGACATGAATCCCATCAAACATTTATGGGACGAGCTCAAACGAAGGGTCCGAGCCAGAAATCCGGCACCTTCAAATATCAATGAGCTCAAGACGGCGTTGTTAGAGGAATGGGACGGAATTCCTCAAGAAGTTATTAAAAAGTTAATCAGGTCAATGAAAAATCGACTACAAGCTGTTACTAGGGCTAGAGGGGGTAACACCAAATATTAATTAAATAAATTTATTATTATTATTTTACTTTTTTTTTGTTTTAATTTAAATAACAATCTCCATAAATTATTTTTCTAAATTCCTATTTTCCCTAATTGTTAACTCTATTACCATTATTTCAAAAACCACGCAATCGATTTTTATGCTAATGAGACCATCTTAAAGCTAAAGTTTCAGGCTATCAGAAAATAAGACATTTTTATTAATTGACTGGGTAGTTTTTGATAAAAACTACTTTATATGCAGGTGTAGGGTCTGAGTCGGTTTGGTTGCTCGCGAGTGTACATTGAACCGGCCGGGAATCGCACCCGGGACTTCAGATATGGCGACACCACGAAAACCGCAACGCATCATGTTTGATGTAGTTTGCGCGCGTGTAGTCGGTTTTGACGTCATTTTGCGTAAGACATACGCGTCTCTGGTGCGCAGTGTGCGGGCCAGGCCCAGCTCCCCTCTCCGTGTCATAGGGGACATAGACAATGTTGTGACACGCGTCTAAATGTATAATTAAATTTTGATTTTTACCAACAATAGAATAAGTGCACATCTTTAATATATAGAGTCTATTGGGACTTGAAATAAGTGTATTATTATTGCAATTGCATATGCAGTGGTGTGCCCACTGCATATGCAATTGCGTTCACATAAAAACCAAATAGACAACCACAATTTTTTCTGTAAACACACAAATACCGCTCGATAATGTCAGTATAGCATGTAATTAGAGATACAATTTGACCATAACTTTACAAAAGACGATATTAACAGAAGCCATTATGGTTTACATTATTTTTGATATCTATTTATACTCTCGCTTCTACCAAGGTCTAAAACGTAGTTTCCCAAAGTTGAAGAGTCCTAGATAAGGGTCTCAAAAGTAATTGTGGGCAAGAAAATCTGAATTATCTATATAAACTATACTACATATATACATAATTATTTGCTTGATTGCGTTGAAATTTTTTTACCTTGCGTATATGGGCGGTGAGCCAAAAACTTTGGGAACCTATGGCCTAAAACATAATTTTGAATTTTTAAATGGGGAGGCGGTATTCCTCGGCAATGGCATTGTTATTACAAAAAACTAACGAGAATTACGATCACAATCGCAATAAGAGGACTGACATCAGTCAACAGACGACGACGTGGTGCGCAAGAGTTACTCTGCATACTTGACGAATGATAAAAATTAAATAATTGATGAAAAAACGTAGGTTAAAAGTAATATATCATTTTTCACATCAAACAGAAAGTTGTCATATTTAGCACCTGCCAAATGGCATTTACGGCTGGTGCCAAGTAAGTTTTTTTTCTTAAATCAATGCGTCACTTTCCCAAAAATTTCTTTGTGAATTTCGTCACTTTGTTATGGAACGTGCGACACCTACAATTATATACAAGAATCGTTTATATTTAAATGTTATTAGTATCTTTTAACAGCGCAGCCTTACTCAAACTTCGGGAAAAAATCTAAATGAAACAAGACGCACCTGTTTTAGGTTTTTTGACAAAACAGAAACAACTGAAAATTTAAATATTGTAACAGTTAAGCATTGAATAAATGAAAGTGTGGTAAATAAAAACAAACGTTGTCAACTGAAATTCGATTAGAACCATTCGACAATAAAAAATAACAAAGAAAAATGGCAGTCCACAATTTTTTTTTTTTTTTCAAATTCAACCTAAAATGAAAAAGTAAAATAACTGGTCAAACTTTTCAAAAAACACAGTATTATTTTGAGGATGTCACAGTGTGTCACTAAATGTGCCGTTGTGTGTAATTTCAATCGATGTAGGAATTATACAGGATAATGTGAAGTTAAAAAATAAGGACGTTTCTACATTTAATACACAATGTCGCATAGCAAATTACAATGATGGATACCTGTTGCAGCAGTTTCTGTGGCGTGGCGGTACGGATGAAGCTGGTGATGTAGACATTGACGAAGGTGGCCATCAGGAACTGGCAGTCAAATCGGTCCATAATGCCGCCGTGCCCGGGAATGACGTCACCAAAGTCCTAACCAATCACATCAATTCATCATAAGTGTTATACATATTATATGTCGCACTGCTTGACAGTCCTTTAAGGCAATACTAACTTGAGTCATTATATAATAGTAATAACCTTTAATATTCCGTACAATGAATAATGACTAATCCCCCATAGCCCTGCATTAGAATTAACCCATTCAGTGCAGTTTTGAATTAAGCTCATTATCAACAGAAATGATATTTAACAATACTCCTTCAATTTATTGCAAATTAGATGCACTTATCAATAGACGTAGGACTATATCGGTATCCTCGGAGAACAAAATGATAATCGCAACAAATATTTCAGGAAAAATAAAAAACATGTTTTCATTGATAAGTTCTTAAATACTGAACGTAGGTAGATTAATAGTTAGCTTTAAGCATTGACTTACAAATAAATGGACGACAGGTCTAATACAAAAACCACGAAAAAAATGTCCCAAGTCAACCTATTTAAACGTAGTGACATGTAAAGGAATATGAAAAAGCTAAAACGTTGAATTTAAATTGTAATGTCATCGCAGTACTGTCTAATTTTGCTTGCTTCGCTGTCAGTCGAACAAACGAAGACGAAAGCGTGAATGACGCTCTGTATACGATTTTAACGCCCTATAAGTTCGGACACTTTTTAGCGCGGACCCGACGTCCATATAATTGTAAGTCAATGGCTTTAAGGGAATAATATTTTTTGTGCATTCTATATTATAAATGAAACAGCCGTAAGTTAAGCCAAAATGGATTGACTTATCATTTTATTCCGCGGGTTGCAATAGTGCAAGTGGCGAAGATAATAATTACATATCTCGTAAAGTAAGATAAGTAAGATACTTTTTTTTTTACACAGTAAGATATTTTTTTGGAAAGGTCTTTTATTCTACTGTTACAATGAAACCATGATATCATAATCAACTTTAGCTTTATTTTACTTTATTATACGAACAGTCCGAACAGTTTGAAACGGGAATAAAATATGATAACTGAGTGTATCGTTATTTCGCGTAATTATTTTTACGAGAACATAATTCTATTGTCATGTCATATTAAGAAACGTAACTCATTTAGTTTAATATTGTCATATAACCTTATTCTTGTGCACTTGGGCATGTGTAGAAAATTTGAATATTATTGTATTATTTTGTTATTCCGTAAGTAACTGCTTAAAAATCACGATCACGAAGATGTATTGGTACCTAAAGATCTTAAATATGATATAACACTAAAACTGTGATAATGGCAGTTATCTTTTTGTTCTCCGAGAATGGCGATATTAACTATAATAAGATGCGCTAAATTACAGGTTATGATTATTTATTTTTTTATTTTAAAGGTACTTAATCTGAATACATATACAGTTTAATACATTAGACATACATACATACATTGGTGAAATTACAGGCACATGGGACTTGTCAACTTATGTCCCTGAGTGACAGATTTTTGCGATTTAAAGCACTGAGTGGCACTGCAACTGTTATGGATAGGCGTGTCGCTTAACACCAGGCGCACGACTTGTTCGTCCCGTCACTCGATATTATTAATAAGAAAAAACATACATAGACTAGACCACATTCCAAAACCGGTTTACATAGCACAAAAAATTTGTCTTAAAGTAGGTAACAGTTAGTGTAAACTTATTTTCTCCAAATTGTTTAAATAGTAATTATTAATACAAAGATCCAACACAAAGAAAAATGCCTTCGGTACGTGTACAAGTTGTTACACATACAATTGGCGCAAATGCTTCGAGAAAGAAATTAATTTTGTGACAATACCTTGATCTTAAAAGCGCGCTTAAATCCGGAAGCGAAGAATCCGCCGAATGGCCCGATGACGGAGCTGAAGATGCTCAAAGCCAGCGAGTGGATCATGAACGGATACATGGTGATTTTTTCGCGACCTACCTGGAATTGATACATGTATGGTCAGTTTTGAAAGTACCACATTAAGTTGACACCTCTACCAGTTTCTTCCTCCACCGAGAAGCAACCTATTCCAGATTGTTGATAATAATAATAATGCACAATCATAGCCCCGCATTAGGGAAACCCGGTATCGCGATTACCATGGACACACACAGAGACAACAACAAATTACACCCAAACTCACGAGAGCAATAAATGTATGCCATATAAAAATATTACTCCCGCTCGGGAATCGAAAACGTGGCAAACCAGCTCGGTAACCGTTTGGCCACAGAGGCGGAATAACCATCTATTAAATACTATATCAAAACCAAAATTAACATTGTAAATACTTGAATAAATCTATTCGTCTATTTAAATGTTTATATGTGTCAAAAATATCTTCGTATACCTCTTAAATATTACTAGATTGTAAAGTGAACAACGTCTCAGTATTATCAGATTGGAAGGTGAAAAGTAAAAATGTGCGAAAAAGTTCCTGGTTTTCGTTAAACTATTTATATTAAAATGTTGTAGTAAATATATTTTGTATTTTTATCTATTCGACCCCTCCTACGTAAAGTATCGTATGTCGAAATTGCCAAGTTTACAGGGGAGCGTTTTAAACTTCTGAATTCACTGAAATAAGCATGATACGTGACTTTAGCATTTCTCAGTTTTATTCGGCAAAGCTTGTTACTCACATAGAGTATTATAAAATTCTAGATATCGGTTAGATGATCTATTAGATGATCACTCTATGTGAGTAACGAGTGAATTCAGAACTCTCAAATACTCCCCTGTAAACTAGGCAATTTCGACATACGATCCTTTACGTTGGAGGAGTCGTATTATTTCATTAACAAAAAGTGCATAAATGACATAGTAAGAAATTTACATTTAATACTTTGAGAAGACAACAAATAAAACAAAACCTATCGCCAAGTTAGCACATAAGACACTTTTTAATTCGAGTTCCTAGGCGAGTTATTTCGCTTAATTAAAAAAAAATATATTTAGGACAACCAACAAGTCATACATACATAAAAAATTTAAATACAATTCAAATTGAGTAGTATTAATTTTTTGTCTCAATTGAATTGAATTGTCAAAACTCAGCTAGTTAATTACATATTATAACCAGTCTAAAACTTAATAAATAACAATTTTGTTCTAACACTGCCGTAGAGTGACCTTGCATTTAGAAATATATTCCACATCCAAGGCATATAATTTCAAGTAGACATCAGTTTTTATACACACCATTTTCATTACAGGCATAAGGAATTGCGGCGGAGTGTATTCTTGCAGGCGGAACAGAAGCGAGGGCTCACAATCCATGGTCATACGACCGAGGGACTCCGAATATTCGATCGGACAGACCAGGTACGGATACTGTGACATCATGTAGGACATCTGTAAAATGTAGATAATCCTGTGTTAATATTTGACAGATTTAGGGCGATTTTAGTGCAAGATGGAAAAAAACGACAAATTAATTTTCGACGTTGAAATATTGTATTTTTTATAGTCGGTCTATTTTGAAGACGGAGTAAAATGTCATTTGTAGGGTTGTCAGTTTTCATAAAATTTGAAATAGTTATGTAGTTGTTGTCGATAGATTTATCGACAGATTGTGAAAGAAGATACAATTTTGCCCAAAATTAGTGAAATGTGAATGTTACGAAGTTCTAATGATTACTAGTTGCGTTATTGCCAAGAACAGTTGGCCTACTAGTATCGAGATCAATGTTTATTCATTTACATTTTAACAAGAACAGCCGGATTTTATTATCTGTATCGAGTTAAAATGAAAAGCTTTAAAATATGTCTCCTCTTTGTAGTTTTCATAAACATGTATGTACGTATAAACTTACAAAAATTGACAATTCAAATCAACTTATGCTCAGTAATTGGATGAATAATGGGTCGAGGTGGATTCAAATTAAACAATTTCGGCTATTTATTCCATAAGCGTGACCAGTATTAAATCGATAGTCGATAGAATATTTATCGACTGCAATCACTAGCTGCTCGCAAGCGGGCAACACTTTTGCGTAATGAAATGTCATTTTATACCGTCTTCAAAAAAGACAGACTATAAATAATCGTGGTAAAGGGGCTTTTCACTTTAACGGAGGTGCACGAAAGGAGCCTGGGGGACCAGGTCGTACTACTCCTTTCCTGTAGGTCCGGCGTGTCAATCGGCGAGTACCTTACGGCGATTAGCAAACCCTTTCACCACACTAATATTTTTCCGACCTAAGCTACTTACTACGAGCGTCTGCCCGCTACTCTCGGACTTGAAACATCTGACAAAACATTTATGTCCTTTATCGATGCCTTACTTCCTCAAACACGTATTTTATAAAGACTGACAGGAGACGGCAAAATTTCTATTTATTTTAAATTTCTTATCAAGGTTGTTTTTTAATTTGGATGCACAACTTTAAGAATACGTAAAAGCCAGTGTAAATATCGTCGAGTATATAACCAGAAATAGAGACGAAGTAATGGCCATCCATCCCTGGCAACTCATCAGGTAAATGGGCCTTATATCACTTTTAATATCAACTCGCGTTTGCACTTGAAAACACAAATTAGAAAGCTGAAATAGTACAGCGCCAATAACTGACCTATGTGTACGTCTCCGTATATTACATTCTGTGGTGTGGGAAAAGTAGCAAAACATCTAAATACAAAACAAATAGAATCACATTTCATCGGTAATTAAATACTTAATATGTCTTTTTTCATTTTCGTCCATTATGTAGCAAAACATCTAAATACAAAACAAATAGAATCACATTTCATCGGTAATTAAATACTTAATATGTCTTTTTTCATTTTCGTCCATTATAGCAAAGCTCAAGTTAAATTTGTCGATTTGAAGTGAAACAATTGACGACACCCGTCAATTGTTTCGAATTCAGACTGGCCAATCCGAGCGCAGTTGTTATCGTAATGAATTGGCAGAATAATTTTCAAATAAATGAGATTTCGTCTCTATTTCTGGTTATATACTCGGTGGTAAATATGAAGGAAATGTGATGTGAAATCACCCTGCAGAATTTGTATATACAATGCATTTTTTGCATTCAGTTACTTTGTAAATGAATTTACGGACCTAGCAATGTAACACTACTGAGTTTTTTCTATTTTATTTTAATTTTTATCGCATTGACACACTTTTGTACAATCTTTTATTTCCTCGGGTCATGTATTTGTTATCAACTTCCAACCATCCTTGATGAAGAATGATATTTGATAAGTTATTTAATGACAACAATATTGTTATTAATTAATTGTTCTTTATATTTATTTTGTAGTTTATAATTTTCATTTTTGTTTGACGATCTCAATATAATTTCTTGTACTTTCACATGTAGTGCAAGTTATACTATAATATTATATTTGAAAAATAAAAGAATCTGGATCGACACGAAAGAAGAACAAAAACGCATTTTAGTTAAAAGCTTATAAAATCGTTTAAGAAAATGTTTAAGCATAGATTATAATGTAAAAAAAAGCTTGCAACATTGTGTTGTCAGCGAAAAGCAAGAAAGAGGCCATAAAAGGTTTCAACGGTTTAAAGGTTTTCAAGTAACTTTATGTGTAAAATACGATTTCGAAGATTCGTCATCGGAATCGTATACGAATACGATTTCGATGACGAATACGAAAGTTCTGTTTAGGAAACATAGATGGCGGGACTAGGCACTTAGGAGCGTCGCAAAAAAATGAAATTGAGTATTGAACTAAGCAACAGTTACAACTTAAAGTTATAAACGTGGTTGTGTGCTTATATTAAAAAGCTTAAGAATGTTATGGCTTATTGCCAATGCATGTACACGTGTCAGCTGTGAACCAGCTTCACTATGAAATCTTACAACTATCTAAGGGTTCATTACAATGACGCTTCCTGGTGAAGCTGCCTAGATCATGTTTGTGGAAGCCCGTATTCCGGACTTTTTCGCTATGTTACGAGCGAGAGTGGCCTCTTTTTGGACAAGAGAGCTTGCATCTGACAATGCAATCCTGAAAGTAGTATGTGCACGTCCTTTGACAGCTTTATTTTTAAATACTGAATGTCCACCGGGAGGCGAATCGTAAATCACAATTACCCATTTATGATATTATTTTATTTTAGGTCACATTTTATTTTATTGCTTCTTATAATTTATAATTTAATCTATATTATCTATAAGGTTTAAGTTAAATGTTACAATTCCAACAATTAACATACCACCAAACCGAAGACAACAGTTGAGATTCCGCCGCCAATGAATCCTTCCCAGGTCTTCTTTGGGCTCAACTTGATCAAAGGAGTCTTGCCGAAGAAGAAGCCGAACACATACGCCATCATGTCGTTGCAGATTATCATGGAGACCGGGACTATGAACCATATTAGACCTGCAACGAAATAGTTGATTTTAGTGACAATGTACATTTAGAAGGTACGAGAAGAGTAGAAAGATTTCGTCCACGTAACTACCTCACATGCTCGATGACCTCACTTATTTCTGTCGCCACGCAATAATGTGAGCAGTAATTGCGTTCCGGTTTTGAAGGGTAAAGGTACTGGTGAAATTACAGGTACATAAGACTTGTCAACTTATGTCTCAGGGTGACAGGCGCTGGATCCCTGTGATCTTTGCGATTTAAAGCTCTGAGTGGCACTGCAATTGCTATGGATAGGTGTGTCGCTTACCACCATGCGCACAACTTGTCGTCCCATCACTTGGTATTATAAAACAAGGGAGAGTTTTATGTGCAGCAGTCGGAGAAAAGATTTGGGTCTCAACTTATAATCAGGGATCGGAATATATAGTTTTTTTACCTAAACTTCGAGGAACATAGACTGAAAATGGAGACTACCTTACGATAATATTTTTTAGGTCGTGGACGTTTTCGGGATTCAGGAAATCACTAAAGAACATAAAAAATTGACGTCATTGGGGACAGGCATATTTATCTTAACTTTGCGACGCACAGGTAACCCACTGTGTCGCAAAGTTAAAATAAATATAATATACCTGCCTATCCCCAAATTACTATTTTGATGACGATTCATCACCAGGGTACGACGTATAACAGCAAAATGTGTTTCAATAAAATTTGTAATGTCGATCGACACGGGTGGCAAATTGCGACAAGCTGGTGACGTTACGTAGAGACTAGGGTTATTGCGAATATCAGCATCCGCGTCCGCTACCGCGGATAATATGCATAAGTTAAAATATGCACATCAGCATTCATTGATGCTGATATTTATTGCGTATGTTCGAGTTGTGACAGGACCCAAAAGCAACGCTGGAACAATTTACAAACCTTCCAGAAACAGACTGTAAGCCGAAAAATCAGCTCAGTTCTTCAAATATAACTTTGATAAAATTTCCCAACGATTAAGCTAAGCAGATTGTTTGTTTTCGTGAAGATCGATTATTTTGTTATAAATGTCACAAAATCATTGAAATAATATTTTATTACAATACCAAACAAAATAGGAAGGTTTTTCATGTAGATTCAGTAAGCTCGTTTACGTACTGCATTCGATTTGTATTCTTTCGGAATCCGAAACTATACAAATCTAGAAAAGTCGGACCCACTTCGGATGTCGCTTGTGCACTAAGTCCAATTCGAATCCGACAAAATACGAAATCACACTTAGGGTCGTGTTCTAGAACTCTACTCAATGCTCTAGTCAGGATTGCAATTGAAACACGAGCACTGGAAATACGACCCAAATGGCAGGGCTTGAGTATGATTTCGAGTGTTTTAAACCATACTCAAGTCCTGATTTGAGCATTAAGTAGAGTTCTGGAATATGACCCTTGGACACCTTATGTGAATGTGATAAAATCACATTTCGGACCGTCATTTCTCGGATTCGGAGATGTGTAAAAAAACCTTCATCAGGAACATCTTTGGTAGAGGCCGCCACAAATGTAAGACATACTACGAACGAATCTCAAAACACGTCAATTGTAGATATAGTCACATCTATCAGCTTTAATTTCTTTATATATCTGTAACCTTGCATCAGCAACATTTTCAAATTTTTTATTTGATCATTAAAATACAGTAGTAATGATAGCCAGATGTTTTAAACAAATGATTTACGGCTTTCATTATTAGCTACACGATTTCAATAGCAAAATAACTCTATTCTATAAATAAGTGTCACACAATAGTGACGACGTCTTTGGCCTAACCGACTTTGAACTTTGGGCGCTGGATGAGGAAATTCCGGGTTCGATTAATTTGGGAAATGAACTTATTCTAAATTTATCCTGGTATAGGTTTTTTTACCATTTGTTTGTGTGATCTTATCTTTTATGAAACAATAATAACACACAGGCACATAGCCCCGCACTAGGGAAACCCTGCATCGCAGTTGCCATGGACACGGGCATAGATAATAACAAATTACACCCAAACTCAAGAGAGCAGTAAATGTAGGCCATACAAATATTTCTCCCGTCTCAGAAATGGAAACCTCTGCGTGGCAGAGCATTATGGTAACCGTGCGGATATGGAGGCAGTTAAATTGAATACTTTCTTAGTGCTTCAAAAAAAGTGTACAATAAAATCGATCACATCTTTTCGGTTCGAACAAAGAGATATAACGCGCCGACGCAAATGGGTCAGTCGGATACAAACATCAGTTTGTTTGCTTGTACAACAGCGTACTCGACCCGGAATTAATTACATTTTGATTTGTTATTGACGTAACATTAAATCACCGCTATACTGGGAAAATTGTCATAAAAGGTTGACTTTGAATTTGAAATAAACGCAATTGAATTTCAATGATGAATATTTCTTACAAATACCATGGTTAACGGTCATCCACGTCAATTCGTAACAGATGATTCTACATTTTATGTTTCACCGAAACTATGTAGGTAATTATTTGCGTTGTATACGTAAGCAATAATGCAGCTTTTCTTATAATACCTTGTGAACGGACAAACTAGTCGCGCGTCTGGTGGTAAACAACACACCTATCCATAATAGTTGCGGTGCCACTCGGAGCTTTAAATAGCAAAGACCTTAGGGGCACTGACACTACGCCCTAACTCGACAAGTCCCATGTACCATTTTGCGTTTTCGAAAAAATTCCAGATAATTGATTTTCGCAAATGTGATTTTAAAAATGTACGAGAGATAATTGGACGTAGTTAAACAAAAAGGATAAAACGCACATCCAGTCACTTTCGAGATAAGACAGTTTGAAGTTTAAAAGTGTTTCTCACCTTGTTTTATTTTAAAAACCTATATTGTCATGTAACTCCACAGATATTTATTTCTGTTTATATGTTGTATTTCTTTTTGCTGATCTAAGAGGTTAGACTTCACGAACCGTTTGGTACATGTAACGAATTGTTTGATTATTTTGTGGATTGGATCCTTTTTGCTTAACTACGTCCAATTTGGGGTGAATGAGATGATGATAATAATATTCTGTGTTTTTACTTTTGAGATTTGAACTCTCGTTTGTCAAATTGGTCCTACATGAAACAAACTCGGGATCTCCGTTAAAATAAAAACAATATGTTTATTTGGGACAATAATAAGATTATGTTCGATAATAACACAGTAGTCAATAAGACTGTCACAACTATTAACGACCGACTCCGGATAACTAGTGTAATGAGATGTTCCAATCTATGTAAGTAAAGTTATAATAATAAATATAATAGCAGCAAAAGAAATTATAGATAAAAAAAGCTAATAGTGACCGTTGTGCCAGTGAGAACAATATTCGTCAATAGTGTATTTCACACCGAACTCTCTTTTTATAGCATCTCAACGTTATTTATCAAAGTGTAAACAATAGCATGAAGCGTATCGTGGTACAGTGCGAATGTTTGCAAGTATTAAATTCAATAATAGTTATTTTCCTTTGTAGTTGGCATTGGAAGCGTATACAGTACGTGGGTTGGAAATGGGTCAGTTGCGATTCTCTGGAATTATCTAAATGGTACGCAGAGATTGAATAACGACTTGATCCTGCAATACGAGTTGTATGAGCTAACAGAACTCTAGGCTTTAGCTCTATTTGTTCATAGATATACGCTTTTAAATTAAATTAAAATGTTTGTTCATTAACCGACTCCAAAAAAGAAGAGATTTTTTGTATGTATGATACGCTATAACTCCGGCTTTTGTGAACCGATTTGAATGTATATTTTTTTGTTGGAAGGTTACCTCAATATTGGTCTCCCAATTAAATTAAAAAAAAATATTCCACCTCCAAAGATGGCATGGTTCCGGTTCCGGTAGCCGATTTCAATAAAACTTGGCAAGTAGATGTAATTCCTCGAATTTTTGTGGTCGGTTTTTTTTTCTCTGTACTGAGATTATTTAGGTAGACATGAGCGCCGTGACGGCGCGCCGCCGCTGCTGCGATTTTCCTCGCGCCGCCGCCGCCGACAAATGCAATCGGCATGCCGTTCAGTTCGATCAGGCGCTCCGGTCGCACGCACGCGCACGCTTCCGTATTGTGTATGTGAAAATGGCGACGCAAGAAAATTACTTTTCTAAGATAAAACTTTTTTTTATAAAATGTAAGTTCGCATTTGACCTCCATCTCACCTGATGAAAAGTGACGAGGAGGTCGACGATAGATGAATGCCTATTCACTATTGCCATGAAAAGGCCTAAGTTATAACGTACAGGGAACAAGTCTGCAGGCAGGGAATTCCACTCCATAGCCGTTCGCCACATAAATCTGGAAGCGTAACGCTTCGTGCGAATCTTTGGAATATCCACAACATAGAGGTGGAACCCAAGTCTACGTCTAATCCCCCGGTGATGGAAAGGGGAAAGCGGAATTAAAATCGTGTAATCCCATCGCACACTCTCCATGATATATCCTGTAAAATACCGATAAGCTGGCAACTTTACGGCGGTGTTCAAGGCTCTGCAGCTTCGACTCCACTAATTGCGAGCCACCTCTTTTTGGCACTGTTGTCAATTGAATCAAAGGTGGCCAGTTGGTATGTAACAGAGCCATCCTAAAGGTGGCAACAGTATTCCATGCACGACCGGACTTGTGCTTAGTACAGTTGAAGCAACTGTCCCTATCTACCGACCCGAGATTTTCCGGGAGACTACGGGTTCGACGACAAGATCAGGTTACAGCGGGCGTCCGGGCCAAGCCCTCCGCCAGTGATACGTTTTTGCGGGCGTCTCTGGTGACCCCAGACTTAAGTATGGACTCACTGAGGTTTGTGGTTAGCTGCAGAGACGGACATGTTCGTTTGCTTCGGTTTTGCATGTGTCCGGGGCGTCTGTCTCGTGAGTAGCTAGCGCGTCTTGGTAGCGGTCTTGTTGAGGGCCTGTATGCGAGGAGATGCGCGGGTCACGTGAGTTGCCCTTGAAGTTGGAGCTATGTCCGGACGCTT